TTATTTGGGAAGAGATGTCTTATCTGGAGAGATGGTGGAGGGATGCTTCAGATACCAAAAGAGAGTCGTTCATCAATTTAGTGAAGAATGGGCAGTTGGAAATTGTTGGTGGTGGCTGGGTGATGAATGATGAGGTAAGTTCATAGCCTAACATGCGTGGTTTCTAGTTGATACACAAGCGTACTTTCTTCTATTGTGAATGCTCTTGTGGTTATTCATTTTTAGCTGGTTTGGTCGATGTTTATTAGTTGTGGTCCTTGTGGAGAACGTGCCATATGAAGTCATCTGATAAGCAAATTGAAGGAATACCTGAGGTACTTGAAGTTATGACCAGTCCAAGATGTCAAAATGAAACTAAAAGTATTAATTATAATCTTGGAACTACTCTGTAAGATGTCATTTACTCATTTAGTAACATAGGTGATTGGTTTGTGCTAGCACTGAAAACAAGTCAGCTTGCACATCATGATCTCCTTGATGGATGATGATGGATTTAGGAGGGCTCCGACAGATATATTTGATACTAATTAGGTACATGATACAGGCTGGTACGATTGCTACTCTGGTAGTCACTTATCTGATTTTGTTTATTACGGGAACCAACTGAAGCTGATTTGCTTGGTATACTGGAACAATCTGAATGGGAAAAGCCATTGCAACTTATATTTTTCATATCCTTTGTGGTTTAGAAACTAAAAGTGGGAAACCCATTCCAAACAAAAACTTATTTCAGTTGAGCCCCAGAACCTCCATTCCACGAAGGAAACCTAAAGAAAATCTACTCAGACATCAGCTTGGAAAGAGAAAACTAGAAGGAAACCTAAGAAAAGTCACTCAGATGTCAGTTTGGAAAGAGAAAACTACGCGTCTGTGGTGGACCCACGAATATTTGCCTTCAGCTTCATGTTCTTGCTCTTGTGATGATTTGCACATCAGTGTGCTGGGAACTTTTGCGATTGTCATGTAAACATATTTCCATACTTCTATATGTACGTTGAATATATGAAATAGTCATCTCATACTCCTTAACCTTTTTCCAGTTGTGAGTGTAACCTACTTTTTGTCCCTTTTTTCCCCGATTTTTTACTTGTATGGTAAAATTTTGCTTAGATTGCCTCAATTCTGGTGAAGTAAGTGCAAACCTTGTAAAGGAATAATCTTGTTGGTCATTATAATCAGAATGAGCATCTCCATCTTCTCTGGAAGGAAAACTATTGAAAATTATTAGCTTTTTCCATTCACAGATGAGTCCATCTCTCCACAGGGGTCTTGCTTTGTTAGCATTGATTGTGTAACATAATTATCATAATTTCTCAAGTTAGCTAATGATGTCTAACTGCTATACTTTATTTTTCTTTGTGCAGGCTAATTCACATTATTTTGCGATCCTTGAACAGGTAAACAGGAGGCATTTCTAGAATCAGTTCCTCGTATTCCTCCATGGCTGTATTTGATTGATTTGCTAGTTTACCACAATAAGTTTGCTTTTCTTGTCAACTGCTGCATCCTGGATAGTTTTTTTTTTTTTAAATTTTTTTTTAATTTTATATGATTGCTTTTTATGATAAGATTAGCACAAGGTTGTTCTATATGGAAACAAACTATAGCACATTGGGTCTAGTCTTCTTGTGTCTTTTGCTTGGTTGTATCAAAACTAGTTTGATTGTACTTATCTTGGAAAACTGGAACCTTAAATTACTGACTTCTTGGAGCCTAAAGATATAAGCTTTATCGTTGGTTTCTTTAGTAGATGCAACTTTTATTTCCGAGACTTTACTTTTTTGGAGAGTTAGAAGCTAGTTGTGGCTGGTCTGTACTGCAGATAGAGTTTAAAATATTGTCACTGCTTCTTTTCTTCAAATATTTGCTGATGGTAGTGGAAATTAGTCTCAAACAATTTTAAAAGTTCGTCCTAATTTGTCTTGCAATTCTTAACCAGATAACTGAAGGAAATATGTGGTTAAATGAAACTGTTGGAGTTATTCCTAAAAACTCTTGGGCTATAGATCCTTTTGGTTATTCATCAACTATGGCATATCTGCTCCGTCGCATGGGTTTGAGAACATGCTTATACAGAGGACGCATTATGAGTTGAAGAAGGAACTGGCTTTGACTAAAAATTTGGAATATGTATGGAGACAGAGCTGGGATGCTGAGGAAACAACTGATATGTTTGTCCACATGATGCCGTTCTATTCTTATGATATTCCACATACTTGTGGGCCAGAGCCTGCAATCTGTTGTCAGTTTGACTTTGCTCGTATGCGGGGTTTTGTATATGAGCTCTGTCCTTGGGGAAAACATCCGATAGAGACCACCCAGGAGAATGTGAAGGAGAGAGCGAATATACTTTTAGATCAATATAGGAAGAAATCGACATTGTACCGAACAAATACACTGCTTGTTCCCCTTGGAGATGATTTCCGTTACATCAGCATTGATGAAGCTGAAGCTCAGTTTAGGAACTATCAAATGCTGTTTGATTATATTAACTCTGATCCTAGCTTGAATGCTGAAGCAAAGTTTGGTACTCTTGAAGATTATTTCCAAACTCTACATGAAGAGGCTGACAGAGTTAATTATTCTCGTCATCATGAGGTTGGATCTGCTCAAAGAGGTGGTTTTCCATCTTTATCAGGTGATTTCTTTACTTATGCTGATAGACACAGGATTACTGGAGTGGTTATTATGTTTCCCGGCCTTTCTTCAAGGCTGTTGATCGTGTACTCGAACAGACACTTCGCAGTGCTGAAATAATGATGGCTTTTTGCTGGGGTATTGCCAGAGAGCACAGTGTGAAAAATTACCGACTGGATTCTCTTACAAGCTGACAGCTGCAAGAAGGAACCTAGCTTTATTTCAGCATCATGACGGAGTGACTGGTACTGCAAAGGATCATGTGGTTAAAGACTATGGGACACGGATGCATATGGCTTTACAGGACCTCCAGATTTTCATGTCCAAGGCCATAGAAGTGCTGCTGGGCATCCGCCATGAGAAAAATGATCATAACCCAGCTCAATTCGAGCCAGCACAAGTGAGGTCTAAATATGATGCTCAACCAGTACATAAAGCCATTAGCGCTCAGGAAGGGACAGTTCAAACTGTGGTTGTATTTAATCCCCTGGAACAAACAAGAAATGAGATCATCATGGTTGTTGTTCAAAGACCAGATGTAACAGTTCTGGACTCAACTGGACCTGTGTAAAAAGCCAAATTTCTCCTGAATTGCACCATGGTAGAAGCAAACATTTTACTGGAAATCATCGTCTTTACTGGAAAGCTTCTATCCCTCCTATGGGACTGCAAACATACTATGTTGCTAATGGTTTCGTGGGATGTGAAAAGGCCAAACCGGCAAGACTTCAAATTTCCAGTGCTGATGATTTACCCTGTCCCGCTCCATATGCTTGCTCAAAAGTAGAAGGTGACGCCATCGAGATCAGTAATCAACATAGGAAACTCACCTTCCAAGTCGACCTTGGGTTGTTGCAGAAAATAAGCAATATTGATGGTTCCCAAAATATTGTTGCTGAGGAACTAGGTATGTACTCAAGCACGGAAAGTGGAGCCTATCTTTTTAAACCAAATGGTGATGCTGAGTCTATCGTCCGGGCAGGTGGAATATTGGTGGTCTCAGAGGGCCATTTGGTTCAGGAAGTGTACTCTTGTCCTAAGACAGCATATGACAAAAGCCCAGTTTCCCATAGTACCCGCATGTATAATGGTGATAAGACCATACAAGAACATCTAATTGAGAAGGAATATCATGTTGAACTTCTTGGACATGAATTCAATGACAGAGAGTTGATAGCTAGGTACAAGACTGATGTTGATAATAAGAGGATTTTCTACTCTGATTTGAATGGTTTCCAAATGAGCCGTAGAGAGACCTATGACAAGATCCCCCACAGGGAAATTACTATCCAATGCCATCTCTAGCATTCATGCAAGCCTCCAATGGACTGCGCTTCTCTGTCCATACTCGGCAATCACTTGGTGTGGCAAGCCTTAAGAATGGTATTTAGAGATTATGCTTGATCGCCGTCTAACGAAGATGATGGACGTGGTCTTGGCCAAGGAGTGATGGATAACCGTCCGATGAATGTTGTCTTTCATATCCTTCTGGAATCCAACATTTCACAAATTGCAGATCCTGTCTCAAGCTCTCATCCTTTAAGTCCCTCTCTTTTATCACAGTTGGTTGGTGCCCACTTGAATTATCCTGTACATGTATTTATTGCCAAGAAGTCTCAGGAGATATCTGTGCAGCCACCTCCTAGATCTTTCTCTCCTTTGGCAGCTCCCTTACCCTGTGACTTGCATGTAGTGAACTTCAAGGTCCCTCGCCCTTCTAAATACTCACAACAGCCCCTTCAAGAGGCTAGATTTGTTCTGATTTTGCAAAGACGACACTGGGACTCCTCATATTGTAGGAAGGGCAGGTCTGAATGTATGAGCGTGGCGACGTGCCTGTCAATTTATTTGACATGTTCAAGGGGCTTGCAGTGTTGAATGCAAAAGCAACTTCTCTAAACCTTTTACATGATGACACGGAGATGCTTGGTTACAGTGAGCAGTTTCAGGAAGGTGCTCAAGAAGGGCATGTCCTCATATCTCCCATGGAAATTCAGGCTTATAAATTGGATCTACGGCCTCATGAATGACTTAGAAGTCACAAGAATACCAACTTTGTTTCTTTTCTCTCACTGATTCCATCTCTGGTTCATTGGTGGCACAGAGGATTGCCTAGCTTTTATCCATTCTCTGCTACCAAATCAGGATGGACAGATTCCCTGCTTCACTGGGGTATGGGACCAATTAACTTCTCAAGGTGCATAGATGATCCAACAAGTTAGAAAAGTACAATCAATAGCAGAGATATACGACATTCCTGTTATGTTAGAGATGGCTGTTCATAGTACTCAGATTGCGTCTATGCTACAGAGCTGATGTGTAGATTACATCAGCTGGAAGAATTGGGGCAGTGCAATTATGTCTTCTACAAAAGTCAGAATATCATAAACCGAAGTTTTGCTAGGGTTAAAAGTTTTACATGCAGTTCCATATTGGATAGATTTGGTAATATCATATAGATAAACATCTCCCTGTATGGCATCTTATAAAAATTGGTGATGTACTGTTAAGTTTGTTACACTTGTATGATTATATCACTGAAGCAGGGACCAAGCTTTGATCCTTCCAAAGCTTGATTATCTCACAGAATGATTTCTTCCTGCACGCTCATATTAAGTGTCTTGTGAGGAAGAACGATGGAGTTGATCACCACAACCTCATCTTCAACGGTCACAGCTTCCCCTGTATAAGAGATTATGGGATTGAAGATATATATCCATGTCCATTTCCGTAGTACGATGGACACAAAATTTATGGTAGGCACAAGTACCTAGCATGGTAATTCCAAGCTTCGCATTGTATAGTCTCCTTCAGCCTGACAAATTATCCAATCTTAGCGAGTAATAAACTTTGTTATAAACAACTATTTAACGACTCTTCAGTGCAAGCAACAACCTATTGAAATTTGAATATTTCCTACATAGCTCTATACTTAGGATCTTCAGTGTAGCTGTAAATGTCAAAATTAAGGTCAATTCAACTCATAATACCTAAGTGTCTTTCACCTACGACTCACGAATTGCAATGATGTTTAGTCATGACCCTTCATACTATGGCTGCAAATGTGAAAAGATAACATTTAACTGCTTATTATGCGTTGTATGTCACGCCAACTTACATGGATGACCAAACAGGCAGAGATACCGACCAAACAGGCAGACACAATCAGAATTCATGATACCCTAATCTTCCTCCAACATGGTTTGTTTGGATTGTAAGTTATTTGAGATATTTTTACTGTAGCATTTTTTGTGATGTGATGTATGTGAGATGAAAAGGTAATTGGGAAGGTAAAAAGGTGTATTGAAAATTGTAATGATGATGTAAACAAATATATTTGGAAAAATAAAGGTCAATCCAAACAAAAATTATAAATTATGGAATACTTGAAATTTTTGGAGTTTGACAAATCTGAAACTCTCGAGGGAACTACACCACATGAAGGAAAACTATACATGCACTTAATTAATTAAGTGAATAAATTACCTGAACCATGAAAAAGCAAAAAACAATACCTGCCAAGGAGGCCTTGTTGATCTAACGGCTAAGATTGAAACTCAGAAATTAGAGGTCCTGGGTTCAAATCCCCTGCCCCTTCCAGACTTCCCTTGCTAAAAAAAAAAAAAAGAAAAAGAAAAATAGAAAGAATACCTGGACACGAGACCACTTCCCAAGAGATGGCTGCCATCCAACATTAGAGTGCAAGACAACTGTGTGGTATATATTGCAACTTTCATGCTACAATTCGATCATACCTTGATTTCTACAATTCGATCATAAGAGCAAATGTCAGATTAATAGACGTGCCAGAGGCCTTCTATCAGTATGAGAAAATAAAACAAGCAAGCTACTAAAAACATATTGCCTGCATCTCTTACCAAGCATGTCTGCCGATGGAAAGTTGCAACAGACACCACAATTCAGCAAAAAGATATGGGACTGCCCAAAAAACACGTAGACGCTTCAAAAAAAAAAAAAAGTGGATATCGACACCAAAAGCTAATAGCGTAGTTCTTTCATCACCAAGGAGAAACAACACAACCATATGCTCCCTGGGTCGACTATTGTAAGACAAAAGCAAAATCATTAAGGTGGTCAAATAAATAAGAACTATGCGTAATGGGATGACACACAGGAGAATCTTCCATGATGAGATCTCTGAAGTAATAAAGGCCCCCGCCGAACCATGAGGCTCGTCTTCTTTCAAATATCTACAAAATAATTTTTATAAAAGGACAGAAAACCACACTCAGATTCAATGTTCAAGTTTTGTACTGGAAACTTGGGAAAGTTAGGCAGCCAAAACAAAGAAAAAGGGGAAAGAAGAAAGCATGGAATCGAGTATTAGTAGAAACTAAACGGCCAAAGCTCACCTGATGACAGAGACTCTAAGCTCACTGGAGATTGAAGAGACGTATAAAGCAAATTCTCTCTCCTCGTAAAAACCAATCAGAAATATTTGTGCCAAGTTCTTGATCTGCACAAACAGCACGGTCGAATTCTAATGCTGAATCACAACGGAAAGATACGGATATCTTCTTCTTCTTCTAGTAGTCCTTTCCAGGATGGAATTTTACTCAAAAACACCAATCAAAAGGCATACCCTTTGCCAAGCAGAAATATGATGGTGAACCATGGGCTGGCCAGCCAAAGGGAAAAGAGGCTTGGGAGTATTAAAAGAAAGTGGCCGAAATCGAGTGCCTGCAACATTTTTTGTCAAAGAAACAAGGAGGGATATGCACAGTTACTATAAATTATGCTCAAATTTCAACCAGAAAAGGCAATTCACAAACATGTAGCGGTCCATTTCTAAGCAAGGAAGGTGAGAAAGATGGTGGTAATCGGAAGTCGATACTAATGGTTGGTTGAACAGACCAGACCTTTAGTGGGTCCGCCGACATGATAACAGCTACCACCTTCTCCTCCGAGCTCCCCATATCTGCGCCTCCCTCACACCCGACACAAATTTCAATTGCAACGGGTATTAAATTGAGGTGGAACTTGGAAGTTCGGAGGGCAGGGACTGTGGATTTTTTTTTTTTTTTTCCCCTTATTCCCATTATGATTCTTCAGTCCTTGTGTGGCATGAAGAAATACCGGCCCATACGCTAGTCTTTTTTTTTTTTTCCTATCGATAACAATCCATACGCTTGTCAATCAGCTAATTTCAATCGTTTCACATTTCTAACCTTTAAATTTTGAAATGTTAACAGAGAAATGATTCATCTAACACGAATGAATAATCATACTAGCATATGGACATCTCAGTTTGCTTTGTATCTCTTGTTACTTGGGATATTCATCCCTACAATCAAAGCAGCTGCCTTTCCGACAACTGGCATTTCTGTTGTCAGCACACTCACTGATGTTGCTTGTTCTTGGAAAAAACAAAATTCGTCCTAGAAACTGACAAAAACTAACTAAAGCTATCAGCTTGGGTGCCTCAAAATTGGATAATCCTCCTTTTGCAGCCTTCCAGCTTTGAAAGGATCCTTGCTTCGTACTAGCCACCTGTTTTCTGCCAGATTAAACTCCAAGCCCCCTAAAAAAATTCAGTACAATTACTTGCTTGTTATTACAGCATTTGACAGATGAAAAAAATGTTACAAAAGCTATTGAAAAAAAAAAGAGAGGACAAGGTAAAAACTTAGAATATGAAAGTGCTGTACCCGGGTGAATCAGTAATGGCAATATTTCCAATCTCATGCCTGCTTGTTGCCGCAAACTCAAAAGGCCATCTCTGAAGACGTCAGCAAGATGTTCATTGGTAAAACCATTTTTCGTTGAATACTACTCATTAACACATTCCACCTGCAATGTTAAATCCTTGATCCCAGCATCCTCTAATATGTGAGACACTTGAGCCTTTGCAGAAGCTTTACTTGCCTCCGTTGATATGTGAAGATGGAGGGTCCCAACAACATCAGTGTTCGTCAGACTCCAAAAGTGCAGATTCTGAATTCCACGCACACCATCCACCTTCATAACATCATTTACTGCTTGTCTGAGATCCTGCTCAAGAGCTCTTGGAACTCTTTGCAGCAAGATTTCAGCAGAATTTCTAAGCAATGGAATCACAGAAGATATAATCAGTACAGATATAAAGATAGAGCAGGCAGGGTCTGCAACGAGCCATCCTTTATACTTAATTAAGAGTGTGGCAACAACCACACCGACACTTCCCATGGTGTCTGCTAAAACATGCAAGAAGATGCCTTCCATGTTATGGTCAATATGATGGTGGTGTTGCTGCTTCCTGTTAAGTTCCTCCAAGTGTGAATGATCATGACTATGCAAGTCCCCTAAGACATGCACACTCTGACCAGCATGACTTCCATGAGATTGACCATTCACACTCAATGAACCATCACAGATTAGCGTGCCAGCACCATGATCATAACGATGGTGATCATCATGACTGTCGCACTGCATTGTTCCACATTCTTCACCTTCTTTCTTGTCACTTTTCTGGTGATTATCACAATCATGGTGCTTGTGATGACCAACATGGTGTTCCGCATCACCAGAGCAAGGTTTCACATGGCTGTTGTGGACAACAGGAACACACTCGTGAGTTTTGTGCTGAATTTGGCATTTATGGTCATGTGAATGGTGGTGGTGGCTGTGATGGGAATGAGAATCAGAGCGGGAATTTGAGTGCGAATGGGAATGTGAGTGGGTACATGTTCCAGAACCACCATGCGCATGATGATGCTCCTCATGAAAAAAGATCAATCCCACTACATTGACAAGCAGCCCTCCAACAGACACTGCCAACAAGCTGTTTGTAGAGATCTCTTGAGGATCCAAGATCCTCTCAAATGACTCCAGCACAATTAGAGCTCCTACAAGAACCAGAAAGACAGCATTCACATATCCTGAAAGAACCTCGAATCTTCCACGACCATGGTTGAACTGACCATTTGCTGGGAGGCGTGAAATGTACGATGCATACAAGCCAATCACAAGGGCAGCACAGTCAAACAACATGTGACATGCATCTGATATCAACCCAAGACTGTTACTCATGAAACCCGCCACAAATTCTATAACCATGTAAGCAGCATTTATCAACAGGAAAAGAGCAATCTTGCGTGACTTTCTTTCACTCAAAATGTGGCGAATGGGCTTCATAATAGACATGGTGAATGAGTCCGATGATTCAACACCTAATTCAATATAATTAGGATGAACAGGATCCAATTCGCTCACAGAAACCCGCAGCAACAATCCACAAATCAATAAACCCCAAAGGGAAAGCTCTGGAAAATAGAACAACTCCAAAATAACTGTACAAACAAAAGTGACAAGATACTCCCTCTGAAAATCTTTGGAAGCAGCAACTTTCTCATCAGTGTAATTCTCACTCAAAAGCACTCCAAAAACAACTGTATTCGCCAGAGGCCAACCAAGATTTGCAATGGAAATGCTATCTCCTTCAACTTCGAATATAAACATACTGATCACAGCAGGAACGAAAAGCACAACAGTAGTGAAAAACAGTGAAAGCAACCGAACCCGTTTTGGCCCCAGTTGCCTAACAGTACCCCAGTTCATCGAAACCCGCTCATAACACCCTAAAACCCAGACAAGAACGGAAGCAACATCGGCCAAATTCTAATACAATTCTGACCAGGAAAAAATGACAATCCAAATTTGTGAACGTTGATAGAAGAGAAAGGGAAGCATTCAAGACGATCCCAACTAATAGATAACAAAACAGCCCAGAAAACAAGGCAATAAAGCCACGAACCTTAGACATGCCAATTTGAGTTTTACCAATAAAGTTGCGATTTTTACCCTCAGCAATGAAACGCGCAGCTACATTTCCGGACAATTCAGCAAGAATCAACGCAGCTGTACCGCAGTAACGGAGAGCTTGGAAACGGAGGAGGAATATTACGGCTAGGAGGAGTGATTTAGCAACCAGAAGTCTATACTGGGATTGAGTAATGGAGGTGAAAGAGAAAATGGGCTGGCGTTGTTTTTGATGAAAAGGATCTCTAAAGGAAGAAGAAGATAGGGAAATGAAGAGAGGGAAAGAGAGTGTGAGGAGGAAAGAGAGGAGAGAGACTAAGAAAGAGAAGGGGAAGATGGAGAAAGAGGAAGGGGAGGAACGAAGGAATGGGAGGAGAGAGTAGAGGGAGCGAAGGGAGAAAAGGAGGAAGAGGAAGGCGAGAGAGGAAGTTTTAGAGCTCGAAGTCTTGGTGGAGAGAGAGGACAGGCGGTGTTTGGAGGGGGTTGGGGTGGGAGTCGCCGGCGGGAAGGGGAATCCTTGATACGGTATGGGTCTTGAGGTGGTTGGCGTAGTGTGAGGAACAGTGGTGCGTGGTGGAAGCGAGAGCCGGCTCGCGGGTGATGGTGGTGGTTGTGGTGGTGGTGCTATGATCGGAGGGGCCTTTTTTTCACCTATTTCCGATCTCTGGACAAATGCAAAGTTCGATCTAGTACTCGAGATTGGAATTGAACAGTTCAATCCGAGGGGTTCAAGACTGCAGAAGGCTTTCATTGAAAAGAAGGGATAATTGCAGAAACCTCCCCTGAGGTTTCTGACACTTGCACTGACCTCCCCTGTGGTTTGAAAAATGGCACTGACCTCCCCTGAACTTACTAATCCTTTGCAAATTCAATCAAAACGATTAAAATATTGTTTTAGGGAGTGAAATTATAATTGTATACCATATTTGTCCTTTGTGCTACATGTTCAATGAATAATAAATTACTACAAATCAATTAACAATTAATAAACTTTAAACGGTATAGTTTATGAGCAGATATGCATTACCCATTTAAAGTACCGACTCTTTATGGATATTTTACTTTCAAACATTTAATTTATGATAAATATGTCAATGTTTGTAAGTAAAATTCAAAAAGTGTTACAGTAATATTCTTACAAAAAGGAAATCAATAGGTTATCTATTTAATATAATTAAATATTTTTAAAAAAAGAAATAGCCCATAAAGTATTAATTCTTTATGGCTTTCATCCATTATATGAGTAAAATATTGGCTCTTTATGGACATTTTATTCTGAATCATTTAATTTATATTAAATACATAAATGTTTATAACAAAAAAAGAAAAAGTGTTACATTAATATTTTTACGGAATGGAAACTGATAGGTTTTGTATTTAACAAAAATTAAATATTTGAGGGTAAATACAAATCTTTGTACTATCAAATATTTAATTCTTGTTAAATACAAAACCTATCAATTTCCGTTCCATAACAGATTTTGTGCAGACTGAAGAAGGCCGGGCCCCACTCTGCCAAAACAGATTTAATTAATTTGAGCGGGCAACTGGCGAGTGGATATGGCTGTCGGGGCTTTTGTGTAGAACTATGTTGGCTTGAGATACAAATTTTGTGGGTTGCATGCCGGGCTTGTTAAGATCCCCATCTATACAGAGTCCAAGGTGACATTAGATTTTAGTGGGATCTGTTTTATCAGTAGTTTTGGTGTGGAACATTGGATCTCAGTAATAGTGGGCCTCTCCTCTTCGCGAGAGGTCTTAGGACTCTGTTTCCAATGAGCCGGGCCTCGAGACCGAGTTTATGCAGGTTGCATTTGGCAACTTTTTTTACACTGAAAAGCGCCGTTTTTTTTTCAGTAGTATTCTTTATTCTTTTTTTTTTTTTTTTGGGGGACAAACACAAAAGTAGTACTACTATTCACTAGCTGTATAAATTAAGGAAGCATTGCGCACCAGAAGGACAGAAAATGCATGATATCAATATCATGAGAAGAAACAAAATGGTTATTCAGATTGGGAATATTTGCACGGATTTGATGACATGTACGACAGAGCACAAGAAAGCCTGTTCCCCAGTTGGTTCGGTTTTGAGAATACTCCTCTCATAATTTTAGTGCATGCAGATAGGTACACGTCAAATGTAGCTAGGTAGCTAGCAGACCGGGACGCTTAAACCAAAATGGCGTCCAGAACCTGGAAGAGATAACAATGTCCCAATTATGTTGGAGGCCGTGTGTCAGTATTTAGCAGCTATGGATCCAATATGCATATGTTAAATATTGAGCTGGTCAATTCCATATGGTAGAAGGAGTGAAATAAGGGGAGTGGTTTCCATGTCAGTATATCACAAAAGAGCAGCAGGAGCGGGGAAGGTGCAGAAAAGACTCATTGATTGACGTCTTGGATTTGTGACGCAAAAGGTAATTGCAATAAACAGCCTTTCTATGGAGCAGGACAGGAGCATTAGTGCTTTTTTTCTTTTTTATCAATTATGTATGGATAGTGATCAATACCATATGGCTCCGTACGTAGATCAGCGGGTCTCTCCTGTTCCGACTTTAGATGTTTTTGACAGAGTCATCGCACCTGCATCTGCATTATCGATCGTCACGAGTGTAAGTAGCATCACTATGACACAACGTAATTGGTTCATCAGGCCGAGCCAGGTATATAGACCAGACTACAGGAGTTTCGCCACTTTCATTGCTTTTTTGGTCGTCTGAATCAGTTCTGCCCACAGAAAATGGTGACAAACAAATATATGTTGTCGTCTGTAATCAGATTCTCAGAGCTAAATTGATCCAGCAAACGTCAAATTCGAAGCACGAGATGACCGTGAGCCGAGACAGACACCCTCGTTCCTTCGCGTGGGCAGAAGAAGCCAGTTACAAATTCCATAACGCTCGGACGTGCTGGAAATTAATATGCTGGTTAGGTTGTTTACGGGAAAAAAGGAAAGAAAGAAAGAAAAAGGTTATGTATACCGTCAAGCCAATCACTCTTTCGAATGGATCTTACGTCTTAGTTTTAGTGGTGAAATAAAGCTGGAGGAATGGTTGTTCATTGGTAAATGGTAGAGGATAATCTTATAAAGTTGGTTATTGTGTTGAAGCTTTTCGCAATAATTTGAGTTAAGTATTGTTTTTTCAACTCCAATATAATTGGCAAATCATCATCATGCAAAAGGCTAATTAAGTTGCCTACGCGGCAGATGTGCGAAGAGTCCAAGTGAGTGACCAAGCATTCAGTTTCAGGCCTGGCGTGCTTTTTGAAGGAGGAATGTATAGTGTCTGTTGCATGAGTACATACTAATGTACTGGTGCTAGTGTTATATTCTTGGGCAAATAGGACCGCCGTGACGAGGCAGCCAACTAAATTTTTTTTCCGTTCTTGCTGTAACCATCAGCCTTATAAGCTAGGGAGCTCATTTATAGTGATCGTCCTGTATTCCATTAACCACCCATTTAAGGACAAAGTTGTATATAGTAGTTTCCAACATGCACTGGTGGAACCCAACAAGAACACTAGTATATAGTTCCAACTTCTTAAGTGACTCCTCTAAATTTCTATGCCTATCCCTTTCATGCGTGCTTACTGAAACACAGAGAATTTGAAAGAAACAAGAAACAAGAAGTTATCCTCTCAATTCTCCCACGCCTCTCTATTTCTTCTTTTTTTCCGGGTTGATACATTTTTCCAGAGTCTAGAACCAGTTCCCCAACTTCGATTTTCCCATTCGACTCTGACACTCATGGCCGGAGGACACAGACTAACCGCAGGACTCAATAAGCCCATTGTACTTCTCATTGGTACGTAGTTTTTCATCTGCATGTTCACTTTTTTTTTCTCGTTCTTTCTGGTTTTTCTTTAAAGAAACAATCCGGCTACCTGTATTATTAAAAATGCACCACGATTTAGACACTGGGCCTGTGAATATTTACGAGTAATTGAAACGTTCTCACCAGTCATAGCTGGCGTGGAGAGGTTTGCATTCAAGGGTGTGGCGTCCAATTTGGTGACTTATCTTACTGATGTTGTTAAAATGACCAACTCGTCGGCGGCGAAGATGGTTAACAGTTGGTGCGGTTTTACGTCTATGGTGCCGCTGGTAGTGGCTCCGCTTGCTGACTCTTACTGGGACCGGTATACCACCGTACAATCTGCTGCCTTGCTCTATGCTTTGGTAAAGTCTCTGAACTTTCCCTTTCCCTTTCCCTTTCACTTCTTGTGTTTGGTTTGGCCCCTACGAAGCTTAATATTGGGCTGTTGCGTTACGAATTCAGATGCTTGTTGCTTCTTTTCTCCTGTTGTTTTTTGTGTATCCATTGCTAATTATTTAGTGGAATTTGATGTGGAAATGGTGGGATACTTGCTAAGGTGTGTAACACTCGGTCACAAATCCACAAAGGTAAATGGAACCCGAGTCATTTCCCACTTCTTTTGCCAAGTGAAATTGCTTTTTTTTCTGGAAAAAAAAAATTGGTGCTACCATCTAGTAGTTTAATGTACCATTGATGTGGCGATATACTTGCAGTGTATTGATTGATGAGAAGCATTGTCAAAATTTTTGAATCTGCTGCAGCTTTAACGTAGTCTGGTTTTTCATTCAATTATGTTTAAAATCTAGAGAATTTGAATGGAAATGTAACTAAAAGCCAGCGGTGTCGACGTTGTTAGTATAACTTAGAATTTGGCGTATGGCATATGAGACGATGACCGTAATCTTTCGTTTGCCCAGGGACTCGTAATGTTAGCGTCTACGGCGCTGGGATGGCTTTTGATTCCGATAGGCAAAGTTAGCTCCTCGGCACTCCTTCACTGGTCTCTCTATCTGATTTCACTAGGCCAAGGTGGGTATAACCCTTCCTTGCAAGCCTTTGGAGCTGATCAGCTGGACGATGGGGATGAATTACCTAGCAACAAAACTGACCACAGTTCTGATAAGAAGAGATTATTTTTCCAGTGGTGGTACTTCGGCATTTGTTGTGGCAGCTTGCTTGGAGTCTCCCTCATGTCATATATCCAAGATACTCTGGGATGGGGATTGGGATTTGCCATCCCTGCAATTTCATTTCTAGCGTCCATTGCAATATTTTTATTGGGGAACCGGTTTTATAAGCATAAGAAGGCCAAGAATGTCGATAACAAGTCGACGGAAAACATGATACAAACAGTCAAAAAACTCTATCAAGGATGTTCTGCGGCAAGATTGATTTGGATAGAAACTCAGATGTGGCTGAGCTAGAGTAAGTGTCTCTCTATTTTACAGTTGCATGATACTAGCAATTCTACAAAGTACTAACGACTGGGTGTTGTCCTTGTAGACTCCAGGAGAAACCACTCTTTGACGCAGATCCTGAAGGAATGGAAGGCTTGTATGAGAAATCTGAGAATGAGAATCATCTTGTTCAAATTGCAAAAATGGTGCTGCCTCTGCTGCCAGTTTGGACCATGCTTCTGATGTTTGCTGTGATTTTTCAGCAACCTCCAACATTCTTTACCAAACAAGGCATGACGATGAAGAGGAATATCGGCAGCAAATTCAAGATCCCACCAGCAGCACTTCAAAGTGCAATAACCGTCTCTATTATCCTCTTGATGCCTTTGTATGACATCCTCTTCATACCCTTAACCCGAATCCTCACTCAAAATGAGAAAGGAATCAGCGTGATACAGAGGATGGGAATTGGAATGTTTTTGTCGGTGATAGCCATGGTGATTGCTGCTTTAACTGAAAGGAAGAGGCTTGAGCTGAGCAGACAAATGGTAGCTTCTGATCTGCTGTCTGAAACCGTACCATTGAGCATCTTTTGGCTGCTTCCTCAATACATTTTGCTGGGCTTTTCTGATATATTCACGGTCGTAGGCATGCAAGAGTTCTTCTATTCTGAGGTTCCTCTCAGATTTAGAACAATGGGTATAGCTCTGTATACCAGCGTCTTCGGGGTAGGAAGCTTCTTAAGCGCCCTGCTTATTTCTCTGGTTGAACGCTTCACAAGTTCCGGTGGAAGAGAAAACAGTTGGTTCAATGATGACATGAGAAATTCCCGTCTAGACAACTACTACTGGCTGCTAGCCATACTCGATTCTGTAAGCTTCGTAGGATTTGTAATTTTCTTTAGATTCCATAAAAGTAGAATATGACCGGTCAGCTCAGTTGTAGCCAAGTTAGCATTGTATCAAACGAAGTTGTATTCAGTCAGTGGTGTGTTCCTTTCCGTTGTATATGTAATATGTCTCCTCGATTTACCTATTATCCCAAAGGCCGGAAAGGGTTTAATGTTTCCCAAAAAAAAAAAAAAAAAGTGCGATATTTTCAATCAAATTGTATAAAAAAGAAACATATTTTTCTTGGAGAAGTCAAAGTGTTTCTGCCATCGGAGATGAAAATAAGACTACTCCAATCTTCAAACTTCAATTCTGATCTTTGATCAATCGAGATGGAGTAGTAAATTATTACATAGGGCAACAGTACCTAGTTTTACATACTTCGTGGTTTCTTATCTTACACAACTACTTATTTTTCTTCATGAATATATTTTTCAATCGCCTTTTTTATTCATATATATCAAATCACTATACAAATTTTTCTTAAAAAAAAAACTCTAAAAACTTGCAATCCAAACAGTGTGCCACTCTTTCATAGAACCCCATAATTCTTTCTACTCTCTTTTAAATTTTTGCATACATATAGTTATCTGTCATTGTTCGGTACTCTTTTGTAGGACCTCATAATTCTTTCTACTCTCTATTCAATTTTCACAAACATATGGTTATCCGTCATTGTTCTGTTCTTTAATCGGCACCACCACATTGAACTAAGCGTTTTACACGCAAAGACAAACACTGATTTTGAGACGGCATCAATTACCACCGCCCAAGCTTCCATGACCCAAAATAGGATGGCGGAATCTTCCTCCTGTTTCATTTCCCAAACAGGGTAGGCCTGCAACGCCTTACGCCTCACAGCTTGTGATATTGTACACGCTAAAATGGACATATAGCAATCAAGTGCGGCACAATGCAAAGATACTTGGAGAACATTTGGAACAACGAACTGACATACAAGGAAATAAACTGAAACCCCCGCTAAATCATCGCAGCCAAACTCACTGATCTCTTGCCATATCATCCCATATATGAAGTATTGGTGTCCAAGAAGAAATTGCTAATTTCAAACAAAATTCCTAAAGCTGAGCCAAGATATATCCAATCTAAGTAGTAAACTTTTTCCACCAGTATTAGCAAAACATGAGCTACTATTCTCACACGAATAATGAGATGAGATTCAGTTTTCTGATCACCCCAAAAAAAAAAAAAATCCAATACTGATGTCTAAATATGCACATCGTGAATCCTTATAAACATGAAACATAAAGACATTTTGTTCGTTATCTAGCCAATAAGTCCAGCTGTGCAACCCACAATGCTATATGCAAGAGGGCACAAGTTTAGAAATATGTATCCTGATCTACTCTTGTCTACCAAGTGAGGCAGAGATGAACAGTGTACCATCAAAGAGAGCAAAATGAAACACAGCACAGACTAGTCAAGGATGCGCTTGGCGTCCAACTAATGCTACCATCCCAAATAAACCTGGTTCATCATATCAAGGGTTTAGCAACTTTGATATCACCTAACAGCAGATTCCAGCAGGTCTTCCTAATGCTGATAATTGATGTGTCTATCTCTCTAGTCTCTACAGCCAAAGTGATGACCAGATTCTAAGCTACTTCTTGTTTTGAGCACCTTTAGAACCTTCCATCGCCCCTTTGCCACCCTTGCGAATGCTTGAGAAACTCAATGATAATGATTTTGCACTCTTTTGCTCTTCATTCTTTGAGCTGCTCAGTGTGAGAAGGACAAGTAAGAGGCGGAATTACATATGAAAATATGAGCTAAGTATATTTAATATGTTGTCTGATTGAGCAGACCTAATTCTACTAGTCTTCAACGTAACCGATTGCATATTTGCTACTCAAGTACATTCAGATGTTACTAACTGACGATCTTTTCTCCTTCCACCCTTATCACTGAAGTGGAAGTCCTTCAAAAGGTGACATTATTGCCACAGATCACAAACCGAATCACAAATTCTGCGATTAGCAGGAACCACGAATAAATCATAATAAACCTCTATAAAAGATTCATCATGGCTGATAATCAGGAACATCAAACAATCATTGCAATTCTTCGAGTCAATTCATGGTTTACGTCAATAACATAAAGACAAACAAGAGCCAAAATGTCGTGAAATACTATAATTGCAACTTTAAGAAAAATTATAACAGCACTCACAATGCAGATCAATATCCTCTTCACCAGCTAACCCCAAAAAAAAAAAAGAGAATTCCCTCATTGCATTTATCCAAACTCTATGTCACAAACAATTTAACAAGTGAGCTAATCTAAGCTATTCACTTAACAAAACTAAGATCCAAATATCTACCTCGTCAATGAGTACCATAACCATTGACTTCTGATGCAGGCACTGCTACAATAGCCTTCTGCATTTCCACACTCCTCACCTCTTTAATCCCATTCTGATCAGCATCATCAAGATCCTCATCAGAATCCAAAGTAAACTGAGGCTGAATCTCAGCTCCAAGCGGCCTATACAGCACCAAATCACGCCTAATCCCATGCTTCTTGCAGACAATTCCATACACCACAACACTCAAAGTCACTAGAAGTGCAAGATGGCAATTAAACTGAAGCGTAGCGATCGCTCGACCACGGTGATACTCAGGGTGCCCTTTACACTTAATCGTATAGTTACCTCTACTCTTCCCGTGCAAAGAGCATCCGTGTACCATCATCAAATCGGAGAAAAATGAGAAACCCATCTGGACTATCCACATACCCTGTAAAACCAGTCCAACCCCGCGTCCCAATCTTGCATAATTCGATTTGGGACTTTTCAGTTCTAGAATAGTACAAAACAGACAAATGCCTATTGGCACGAGGAAGAGATCGTAGTATCGGTTTTCTACCCCACTGGGGTCCTTTCTTCTAACGTAAAAGAACAAAAATTCTTCGCCGAAAGCGAAAAGAAGCAGCATGTTGAGGATCGCTGAAGGAAATTGAAACGAAATCTTGACAAGCGTGAAGAGACCCAAAGTTGAATAGAGGAAAAAAAGGAGAGCGATTGCGATTACCTCTAACTGGAAGGCGAAACCGACGTGGTCTTTGGAGTTGAGGGCGTCGGAGATGGAGATGAGAGAGTTTAGAATGAAGAGGAAAGAAAGAACGGAGATTGATAAGCATGTTACCGATGACGAAGAAGGAGGGGCCTTTTTCGTTTGAGTGCTGCTGTTGTTAATAGCTGAAATGGAGCGAGGGCTGGCAAGGGGCGGAGATGGTGGCGTATTTCGGATACATTCAGAGGAAGACAAGAACAATTCCCAAGCACCGATCAAGATGAAACCGCCGCCGGCTATGGTGTAGGTGAAGAGTCCCATTTTTGGCTCTTGATTTCTGTTTTCTGGTTTACTTTTCTTCTCTTTCCCTTAATAAGAATTGAGCTATGAGCGTGTGATTTGACTTCCTGGGAAACGCTAGTATAAAATGATTATTGTATTTTGATTCTTGGACCGTTTAATTAACTGTGGGAGGAAAAAACAAAGGCAGCGGAAGGATGCGGGTGGAAGAAAGACGAACATGAAGAAGAATGGATCTGAGGAGGCCACGCGGTCAGAAAGTTTGCGGAAGAGGAGGGCCTGGTCGTCTTGCTGCTTCAATCGTCGTCGGGCGCTCGGACCTTGGACTCGACGACGGAGGCTATGTCTCCTTTTACGTGTAAAAAACTAAAATAGAAATTTAAGTATAGTTGAAGAGTGCAAAGTGAAATTAACCCTTTCTCAACTTTTGATTTATGCAAATTTTGATTTTACAGTTATATCTCTACTTTGATAGACTTAGTAAAATTTTTATGACTAAAAATGTTCTCTTTTCATTATGACCAACTTATTGGTCGTTGATTTTGGAGATTAATCCAAAATATTTTCTATATGTACGAGAGAGATTTTTAATACAAAAATGAGGTTGCAACTTAAATCGCTTATTATAGGGAAGGTGTGGAAACTAAACTGAATGTCACTGATTGCCATTTTTTGGATGTTTAAATACTAGAAATTGTCAAAGATAAGGGTAAGAGGGAAATATTTGTAGAGATTTTAAATACTAGATTATCCATTATGCTAACGAGTTCTATAATTCAGAGCAATGCCAAGCTATCATAATTACTCTCCGTAACCTATATACACACAATAAGGGTATTATGCTTGACACATTGGTGAAATTGTGAAGGGCTTAAACTAAGTATGCTATGTAAAAATGACCTTTTTAGTGGGTGACCTTATAACACTCGTTAAGACATCTCAGTATTACACCTAACTTATCATGTTAATATACTCTAAAAAATAGACAGAGATTGAAAAACACATTTTCTCATCTTTTAGGTAGACTCATATCATCCAGCAACAAAAATAAAAATAAAAAATACGTATACATCAACTATATCATATGAAAGATAGAATTGCTTTCATATTTTAAAAATACTCACACTGCTTTAAGAAGGAAAAAATCTAAATGGAAAATTTTAATTGGAGTATAGATATTGAGATTTACTTAATCTATATAGTATTCCATTCGAATTGAAGAAAAGTATATGCAATATTTCTAAACGTCTTTTATGGATTTGCTTTTTTTTCTTAACAATAATATTTCAAATTCGATACTACAATAAGACACACAAAAACACTCTATATACATCTCAAATACACTTACTACAAATACTAAGAAAACAATTGAAAAACTCACTATCTATTTTTTTCCTTTAATGCCTTCTCGCCACCCTCCACCACCATCATCCTTCACTCCTTTAACCCTTTTTTTTCTCTTCTATCCTACTTCCTCCTTCTCTACCACTACTCTCACCCCTATTTTCTTCCCTCTTTCTCCTCCTCTCTCCCGCTTTTGCTCCTCCCATTCCTTTCCCTATGTTTTTGTCCACTATTCCCTTATTTTCCTTCCCCATCCTTTCTTTCTTTTATATCCCACATTTCGACAAAAGGAGAAATGGTATGAGGGAAAAAAGGAGAAAGAAGGGGAGAGGATGAAGGAGGGGATATAGAAGATAGGAAAAGAGAGAGGAGAGGTGTAAAAGGAAAATGAAATAAGGAGAAGGAAAGGGGTTTTACTAGGGAGGGATTTAGATAGGAGGTACGAGGCGTTATGGTAGGAAGGATGAAAGAAATTTTTTAAAACACCTAAATAAAAGTTTTAAAATTTAAAATTACTCTCAAAATATATCTACAGTGAAAGTTTTTAATATACAAAATTATAGTAAAAATTTTCAAGAAACACCCTTAAATATATGTAATCTATACAGACCCTAATACATACTAGACTTGGGGTTTGTTCAATTAATAAATGGCTATAACTTGGTATTATGAGGAATTTATTATAAGTGAATCAGAGAATAGATTTATTAAATAAAACTTTCTTTTTATTTTCTATCCAGTTACAAGTCACAAGTACTCAAAACAAACAAAATCATTTAAGTGAGATAAGCTGTTGTAACTGCTAATCCTATTCTTATAAAAGGTGAACTTTTAACCGCCATTCCGGTAAATTTATATATATATCAAATTTACCATTTTACTTCACATTATATTTACTACCCTTGTATTTAGATAATTTGTTGATTTAACTTAACTTTGTCATATTAACCAATGCTCATTAGCTGATAAAAATAAATATTTTGTTGTAACAAAATCAATAAAAAAGTAAAAAAAGTGTTTGGATAGAAGATTATTTGGGGAAAAAATTATTTAGAATAGCATTGTACCATTTTTGTGTGATGTGATGTGATTACATGAGACAAAAAAGTTATTGAAAGCTATGTTTATAATACAAATACAATAATATGTGAATTTTTTTTTCCAAATTACAGTATCATATCCGTTTGGATTAATTATTTTTGAGGGTATTTTTGAAATATTTTACTGTATCAGTGTATATGAAAAACTTTTACTATAGATATTTTTTGAAATATTTAATATATTGTATGGATGAAATATTTTTTGAATTGTTTTTTTATATATTATTGTAATATTGTATTTGAAAAACTTGTTTTTGAAAATAGATCAATCCAAAAGAAGAATTGTGTGTCAAATGAGACTATTAGCTCTAACTATGATCAAATTCCTAAACCAAAGGAGTACTAATTTACTGCAAGTAGCATAAGGAGATGGGTGCTGCACTACTTAGAAACAAAGAGCAAAAAGATTCTCGACAAATGAGCATCTTATTAACAAGAGATTAAATCTCTTGACCTACATTTAATTCATAATTTTTTGAAATTTCACCGGCGGTAAGTAGTTACCTGTCTGCTGGACCAGTGGCGATTCAGCCACCCTCTCCCTAGTGTAGAGTAAATTAGGAGCGAGTGTAGCATAAAATCTAATTCATCCCTCTTCTTAGTATAGAGTAAAGTAGGAGCGGGTGCAGCGTGAAAAAAAAAAAGAAAAAGAAAAAGACAAAGGGAACATCTTATCCAAAAGTCTTCTTCTATCATTGCACCACCAGTTGGATAGGAATCAAAACAGCACCCACCCCCGAGTCCGCGCCCGTTCCTCTTTGATTGATCATTGATGGTGCCACCATCTTTTTTGATACTCGTGAAAAAAGATGTAGAATCCGAAAGATGAAAAAGAAATAAGTGTTTGTTTTCGTTTTAATGGGATAAATTAAATTAAATAGAGGAATTATTGGCATAGTAATTGATAATTGCTGTGTCTGTCTCCATACGGCAGCTATAATAACCACATATATACGGGGCCATGTACAAAATTCCATCGTCATTCAATCATCTCCTTTGGTTATTACTGGCGTTGCTTTTCAGTTTATTTTTGCCCTTTTCCCCTTGAAAGTTAAATAGGAATGAAGGGAGTACAAAGAGGGGTCAATGCCCATGGAGTGGTGCTGCTCTTGGTGGTGGTCGTATTGCTTCAGAAAGCCGTACTGGGACGGCCTCTGCAACTGCAACAACTCACAGCGGTAACCAGGCCCAGCCCGAAGGACACTGCTGCTTTCGCTCGTTGGTTGGTCTGCCAGAGCTCCTGGGGTGTCCTAAGGTCTAATATCTATTATATCTATCAATCTGTCTTAGTTAACGAATGCGTCCTTCAAATTTTGCTGCCTGGAACTTTTTTCGGATGTGGTTGCAATTCCCATCTCCCATTCCTCAGAAGTCGTTATGATGTTTTTTTTTTTTTTTTTTTTGGGGGGATTTGCACATCCTCTGGGGATTATGCTAGTTATTTTCAGTTTATTTTAATTTTGACCTTTTGAAGATGCTTTGTATTGTTTTGACTGATTCAACTCATATCAGACTTGAATAATTTGGGTGTCACTAATTTTACAATTATAGGGTAACATAAACGAAAGGCTCCTTTTAATTCCAAAATGCTTCGGGAATTGTATGTCAGTACTTGGGAAATTTTCATGTAATTGCCGACAATTTGTAAAAGCTTCAAATTGCCAGGGCTCACATATTATGTGTTTTTGCTTCTATTGATTGTAAGAGGTGAAGATTTAAGACTGTTTTCCTTATCAAACTTACTTCTCAACCGGCAAGAGTCACAGCAGGCCATTGTTTACTTCATCATATGCAACAAATGCTACCTTACCAAGAACTGGCTGGGTCAGGAAGGATCACTTTAAACAGCGTTTTAGCTGAAAATTCTTCACATATACGTAAACTGTAGAGGCAATGCAAGTATCTGAACATTACATTATCACCTTTTGAGGAGAGCAAAAGATTGAAAAGGAAAGCCTTTTGATCAAGACACGAAGAGCCCCTCATAGTATAGTAAAAATCGTGGAGAACATTTTTGATGGAGAAAAAAGTTGTATTTCCTGTTAAGCATCGATTGCTGTTACTTACGTGAGTTCCAATGCAAAGGTCAAATTGGTGGGACAACTATCTGGATGAAGCTTGCAAAGATGTCAAGAACATTGGTTTACTAGTATAAATTTGAAATGATGATAAAGAAACTGAACCAAATAGTTTTTCGTTGTTTAATATACGTGTTTACCCGTTTGAAGGTTTTCATGTTAGGTAAGTCGTAACTCCTCTTTCATTACTGTTGATCTTAAATATTGTCTAAACAGACGTTGAAGATGATATTATCTTACTCCCTCCTATTTTTTTTGCAGTACCATAGCCAGTGATTTGGGAGGAGCACCTTTTGGGTATGATCTGTCGTATAATATTGCTTTCTTCCTCCTTATTTGGGCGACTGTGTACACGTAATTTGTTGCAAGAAATTGTGATATTTTGTACAGAAGAAATTTTGAGGCGAAAGAAATCTCTGATCTGATCTAGTGATGATTGTGGTAGGTTAAACCTGATGCTTCCTTATGTCATCTGAGGATTGTCATGAATAGACAAGAATCTGCTTTTACACGTGGAAACTTCTTCACTTTGATTGTCACTTTTATGAGATTATCTGGAGTTTAAAATACTATGCTCAAAATTGACTTGTACTTTCCCAACTCTTGTTGAGATTAGACTTATTGTTTAAAGACTTTTCTAAGGGTTGCAACTCTTCTATTAGCCTGGAAGGAAGTGTGTTTGCTGTGTCCTGATTGAGTTGAGTTGGTCGCATCGTCTAACCTGAGTAAACTTCTGGTTGGCACAATGCAGAACATTGTGCAATTTGCTCATGTACTGAAATGCGCTTTAACAGAGCTTTAAAAGCTTGGTTTCAACTTCTTGTTTTCTTTTCAGATACAAGTTATTATTGGTCTCCTGATACTCAATTTTATTTTATTTTAGTTCTTTTTCTGTTTTTCCTTGTGGTCATAAATTGACTTGTCTGTATTGTCCACAGAAATGTGGTCTCATTTAGTGATGGGCAACCAGACAAAGGAAGTGGCATCCCATATTTCTATTTGACGACACTTGATCCAACAGCACGTTATGCCTTGAAAGACCAAAGATCTTCCTTCACAATTAGTGAACATCCCATCGGGACTTGTGGTACCAAGGACCCTGAAAATCCTTCTTGTGCAAAAATTACACTTGTAGGGAAGGTAATAGCTCAATTAACTGAAAATTTTGAACTTATTAGACCTGGTGGCTTTACTAATTTCTAGGAGGCCTTTCTCACTTGAATTTACAATATGGCTGTGTTATCTGGTGTGCTGTTGTATTGTAATGCCTTTCTCACTTGTATGACATTACTCGTTCAGTTTCATCCTGACTTAACCTTTGCGTTTGTGGTGTGTAGTTGACATTACTTGACGGAAATTCCAAGGAAGCTGAGCTTGCTCAAACTGCGCTGTTCACTAAGCACCCTGAAATGAAAGGCAAGCTTGTTTTTTCTTTATAAATGTTTGAAACAGCGTTGTCCTTGTACTTTACTTAGTTTGGCCTTGAAAATCTTTATCCTGCTGCTGTATTGCTTTTGTTCGTGAGAACTACCTGCAAATTGTGTAATAATTGAATGGTATGCAGGCTGGCCTAAGGGTCATAATTTCCAGTTCTTCGAGCTGGAAATTTATGATATATTTATGATCAATTGGTTCGGCGGCCCTAAACCTCTCACTGTGGAGCAATATTTGCAAGCTGACATGTGAGTGTTTGATCATAAATAAGATTGCCTTCAAGTGCTTCCATCTTGCAAAAGAAATCCTTATATGAAATAGCTCCGATAGGATATGAGAGCGAGTGATTGTCTTCTTTATCAGTTGATTTTGAGCATGGATTTCTTGCATTTGCAGGAATAAAGTCACGTTCAGTTTCTGATGAGTAGTTATCTGCTTAGTAATGGCCTGATCCAATCAGTTTGGTTGTGCTGAAAGCGTTCTTCAGTTTCTGGGTGGATCTTCTGTACACCGTTCCCAATTCATTTGTAAATGTGTTACGTACGATCATGTAAATTAACAATGTGCATCTGCCCATTGTCTTGGAAAAAGAATGAATATCAGAGGATAGAAATGCAAGGAAGAATTGCATTTTTAGTGTTGATGGATGGCAATATTGCATGCACAAAAGCAAAAATAAGAGAACCCTGAGATTGTAATTATCCCATTAAATTGTACCCTGAGATTGTTGGTAACTTGGGACTGTGAAAAATACTAGAAAATGGGAATGTGGTAATTCAAAAGTTTGCCGCTATTAAAGCAACCTTATTTATTTATTATTCAGTCGTATAAAACAACTTTTCATAATTGCTAGAAAATTTTGAATCGTGACGTTTCCTGATTATTTTATCATATTTAAAATGTGTATGTTTATTCGAGTGATAATGGGAAGAATTTTAATTATAGATATGAACATGATAAATAACACACATATTTTGTACAAAAAAAATTTGAAAATCTGGCGGAGACATTCGGAGAGGAGATATAGAAAACGCCTGAAAATGAAATATTCAACCGGATAATATACAGAGAACTTAAAAAAGTTATCGCCGTAGAGCAAAGGTACGGATTTCGGTCCTGCAATGGCAATGGCCGGTGAGCCGATAAAAAGCTTATTGCATTCCAACCTCAAGAATTCGTTAACGGCTTAGTATCCTGCTACGCCAAATGGCCCTTTGTACAGGCAACCACCAGTTCTACTTACTTCCCCCGCCAAATCCAGACCCCTCCTTAACCCCTTTCTACCTTCCTCCTTCACCTTCCCAAACCCACCTACCACGTACGGCGTCTCTCCTCCCAAACCGCTCTTCTGCCGAGCCACCGCCACTGCCACCGGCGACACTGAAACTCTACCCCAATCCGCCATCCAAAGGATTGCAGAAAAGCTTCGGCCTCGGCTACGTCGAAGATGACAAGGATGAGAACAAAGATGAAGATAAGCTTCCAAAGAATGGGCCCTCCCCGGGCGAAATCTTTGTTCCGTTGCCTTCCCAGTTGCCGAAGTACCGGGTCGGGCACACTCTTGACCCGAGTTGGAGCACGCCCCAGAACCCAGTCCCTTACCCGGCTCGGGGAATGCGATTCAGAAGTATCACGAGTTGAGGAGGGGCGTGATTAAGGAGAGGATTGAGGAGAGGAAGAAAAGGGAGACAGTGCCCACCTTGGCGGAGCTCAATTTGCCGGAGGAGGAGCTGAGGAGGCTGAGGACACTTGGTATTCGGTTGCAGAAGAAGTTGAAGGTTGGGAAGGCCGGGATCACGGAAGGGATTGTGAATGGGATTCACGAGAGGTGGAGGAGGTATGAGGTGGTCAAGATCAGGTGTGAGGATATCTGTAGGATGAATATGAAGAGGACTCATGAGTTGTTAGAGGTAAGACCTCATTGTTAATGTCCTTTTTTTTTCCCAATTCTACAATTGTATGTTGATTGTAGTTACATTCGCATATCTTGCTTCCAATGTAAAAACTTTGTTTGAAGATCAAGTTTAAGTAGAGCTGCTAGTTACGCTTGAAGTTGTTTCTCAAACCACTTTGTGAAAAACAGCTGCTAGTTATATTTGAACCCTTCAAACGACATATTGTAAGGCAAATTTGTCCAGTAATATTTGGGTTTTAATGAGATTTTCATGTCCTATTACGTGCCCATTATTAGTTTGCATTTACCATGGCTTGACTTCATGGTATGTGCTGAAGCATATTTAACTGCAAATGGTCTTTTTTAACAGTTATTGGTACTTACTATCAGAAGTCCATAATTCACTTCAATTTTGTTTCTTCCTCTGCAACGTTACGTAATCTGACCTGTTTTCCCTTTTGGGTGTGGTGTGGTGATTTGGATTACCAGATGAAGACTGGAGGCTTAGTAGTTTGGAGATCTGGAACTAACATAGTGCTATACAGAGGAGCTGATTACAAGTACCCTTATTTCTTTTCTGATGATAATACAGCAAATGGCTCTTTGCGTGAAGAAGCTTCAGTTGATTTTCGGATGGATTACAGAGAGGATAATGAAAAGAAGGCTTCTTCATCTGGTGGGAATGCCCTGAGATCTTCTGTACCTAAGTCACTCGGCAAAGTGTCTCATCCACCTCTAATACAAGGTGTAGGAACTCCAAATAGAGTACGATTCCAACTGCCTGGTGAGGCACAACTTGCTGAAGAGGCTGATCGCCTATTAGAAGGACTTGGTCCCCGGTTTACTGATTGGTGGGGGTATGAACCTTTACCTGTTGATGCTGATTTTTTACCAGCAGCAGTTCCTGGATATAGGAGACCATTTCGTCTGCTTCCGTATGGAGTGAAACCTATATTAACAAATGATGAAATGACAATTTTACGGAGACTTGGTCGGCCTTTACCATGCCATTTTGCCCTAGGTGAGTGATTTGTGAATTGGGAAGCATTGCATAGTTACTAGTCAAAGTTTATTACTTATACCGATTTCCTTTGTTTCAGGCAGAAATAGAAAACTTCAGGGCTTGGCTGCTGCAATTATTAAGCTATGGGAGAAATGTGAAATTGCCAAAATTGCTGTTAAAAGAGGAGTCCAGAACACCAACAGTGAATTGATGGCTGAGGAACTAAAGGTCTGCTAGATGGGTTTAAGAGATCTTCTGTCGTTCCTGTCTAGGCTCTGTTTATCAGGGGACTAACATGTAACTGCCAGTAACTCTTCTGCACTGACATATATTTACTTGAAACTATACTCTTGCAGAACCTAACTGGGGGAACCTTGCTTTCAAGAGATAAGGAATTCATTGTCCTGTACAGAGGAAAGGATTTCTTGCCAGCTGCAGTCTCTTTAGCAATTGAAAAGCGGAGAACTATGGGCTTGATGGTGAAGAAAAGGGAGCAGACAAAAGTTTTACTACAGTGAGCTCAAAAGACCAAAGGCTGGGGACCTCAGAAAATTGTAATGGAGATGAAAATAATGGTAAAGAGGACCAGAAACTTGAACTTGCCTCCAAGCGAAGGCATCGAAGCTCAACAGAAACAGCAATTGAGAGAACTACTGCCAAATTATCCAAGGCATGTTATGTAATACTACCTCAAAATCTGTTCCAGTCACTTGTCTATTTTCCCAAACATGTTAATCTTTTACAGCCTTACAGGCACTAGTGAAGAAAGACATGGCAGAGAAGCTTCTTGTAGAGCTGGAGAAGGAAGAGACCACCCAAGAGCCAGAAGTTGATAAAGAAGGTATTACAGAAGAAGAACGATATATGCTGAGAAAAATTGGCTTGAGAATGAAACCTTTCCTGCTTCTGGGTAAGTGCTAAAGGAAGTGCTTGCTTACTACCCCCTATGATGAAGAATGACATTGGCAAGCCAAAAGTGCATGTTTCTGGCCTCATGTCATCCTTGTAAATTTCTCTCTTTCATGGTCAGGAAGACGAGGAGTATTTGATGGAACAATCGAAAATATGCATCTTCACTGGAAATACAGAGAATTAGTGAAGATTATAACCGGGGGAAGAAGTATTGAGGAGGTCACTGCAAGAGCACGAACACTGGAGGCAGAAAGTGGCGGAATTTTAGTAGCAGTTGAACGGGTTAGCAAAGGTTTTGCTATCATTGTATATCGTGGAAAGAACTACAGTCGCCCTGCTTGTTTGAGGCCTCGTTCGCTTCTAAGCAAAAGAGAAGCAATGAAACGTTCTTTAGAGGCACAACGTCGTGAGGTCAAGTTTGTGTTTATCCCCTGGTTTTCATTTCATCCATTTGTATATGTAGTGAGACAAAGCACGAAACTATTCCAAATTATCCTGCCTTTAATACAGGACACTGTTAACTCACAGCTTTTTTGTTATCAAATATTTTGATTATGAGTATTTGCTCGTTGTGCCTCACATATTCTCTTTGCATGAATTGCAGTCTCTCAAATTACATGTTTTGAAGCTTACACAGAATATAGATCGGTTGAAGCTTCAATTGGTGGGTTATCTTATTTCAGAGCCTTAATTTGTTTTCTGCAGCTAATAGACTGTATTCTGGTGGAAATTACATATCATTCATTTGATCCAGGCCAAAGAAAAGGGTACAAACAAGACGGACTTGGCTGAAGAATTAAAACTCAAATTGGTGAATTTCCTTTCAGATCTCATTATACTGTTCTTCCGTGGCAAGATTATTTCAAAATCTGGGCTAATATATGCAGTTTAATCATGATCCAGGACAAAGAGCAGGAGCCAGACAAGTTCCATTCATCAAAAAATAAAATGTCCCTTGCTAGTCCTGAACTCTCTCCCCAATCATTGTCAACGAGCCATATAATGAACAGGTAAAAAGGATCCCTTTCTTTTTTGAGTTTTGGAATGAGCTATATATTTTTTGTTATCATCCAAGGCCATGCTAATCCAGTGTGTGTCAACCTCATGCTCATCTATCTAATGGATTGTTTCACTGGCTTTGGAATCTGAAATTGTTGTATGACAAATATAGAACACTTACTTTAGGTAAAGGACTTATATGAGAATTCGTGCTGCATTAAACTAGAGAGGCTAAATTTTAAAAAAAAAAAAAAAAAACCTTTTCTCCAGAGGGTTCAGCATATTTAATGGTGACAGCAATTTCAGTGCAGCTTAATTTGTACTGCTGCCAAGTCAGTCAATTTCAGTGTCATGCACCCAGGATGTGTGAAGTGTAGGCCATATGGTTGTTAATTACGTTTCTTTTTAATATAAAATATTTTCTAGTGCACAATAATTTTTTTCCCTTCATCATTTTAGTTTCTTTTCATAACCAGAACTATAGGATTGAATCGCTGAACAAACTCTCTGCATACTGTTTCACATGGAATTTATGAGTGATGACTTTGAAAACATTGCTATGAGTTTGATAATGCAGATGCAGAACCTTTATCTAAATGAAATGGGGGAAAAGGTACAAGTAAAGAAGCTAAGATCTTTTGAATTCGTGGAAATGTGCCACCTCATCTTTCCTGATTCCCTTTTCTGTCAATAAATCTAGTCGAGTTGTACAAGCCTAATTAATCTTCTATGAATGTTTTTTTCTTTATCTTAGACACTTGGTGTGACAACGCACTTCCGCCATTGGTACTATGGAGGCTAAGACTTGGTGGCACTAAAGCTATGCAGTCCCCTGCTGATTCCATGAAAACTGAGCTGGATTCATCAGTTCATGTAGTTAAGGAAAGTGGCTGCAATGCAATACCTGTTAGAGCTAAAAGCCTCTCCAATAGAGACAGGCTACTTTTGCGGAAACAAGCGCTGAAGATGAAAAAGCATCATGTGTTTGCCATAGGTAATCGAATATATTTTGTATCTTTCTTGATTTAATATATTCTGCTATAACCCCTATTTCAAGAGTAATGTTGTTTTAATGTTGGATGAGACAAATTTGGCCCTTTTTCCAGCCACCAAACATGTGGATTTCTGATATAGTTCTTTTTGTTGTGAAACTTTGTTGTATGTTAGTTGCGGGATATTTGTTGTCTCTGTGGATCACATTCTGTCATTTTTGTCATTGGCTGTGGTTGTGGGACTCCTATAGTTCAGTTCCTTATGTTGTGAAACTTTGTTGCACGTTGGTTGTTTGGACATTTTTTTGTCTCTGTGGATTACATTCTGCCATTTTTGTGATGGCTGTAGTTTCTGGACACTCAAGTTTTGTTTTCTGGCTACTCTAAACACACGTGTTCAGAATATGAATCTTGTAATGTAGCATTATGTGGATAACTAGTTTTTCATCAGTGCAAGAGTCCAGCACATGGTATTCTGAAAAGCTGTAGACTAATAAAGAATTGGAAAATAGTATATTGAAATTGTAAATGCTCATGAATGCACTGCCAAACTGTTCTAAAAAATTCTTGAGGCGATTTTCTTTCTAAACGACGCAATAGATAGACAGAAGCAGCAGTCTTTTATATTTTTATTTAGATTGAAGGTTTCTTTTCAACTGTTTTCACCTGTTTGGCTGGGTAACATAGAGTATTTTACAAATGGTCTTATTTCTTAGGGAAGAGCAACAAGGTTAGTGGACTTGCTGAAGCAATCAAGGTCCGCTTCCAAAAGTACCCGCTCGCTATAGTGAATGTAAAAGGCAGAGCCAAAGGGACTTCTGTCCAGGAGGTGGTCTTCAAGCTGGAGGTTTGTGTACTGAAATCCATTTTAAGTATCTGCTGCAATGAGCTTTGAGATAAATTTAACTTTAGAAATTTACAGAAATCATTTCTGATGTTTGCTAATATTTGCTTTGATTAAATCGTTGTTTTGAGACTGTTTTAACTCCTGTTAACCTCACAGCAAGCCACTGGGGCTGTGCTGGTGTCTCAAGAACCAAGTAAAGTCATACTGTATAGGGGTTGGGGAGCAGGAGAGCCAAACTACCCATGGTAGCCGGGAAAGTACTACAGATTCGAGATACTTTTCGGGCAGAGAGGGTAGGACTCCGCATGCTATACCTCACGATCTTATGTCAGCGATCAGGCTTGAATGTGGTTTGCAGCCTTACAACGAGAAAGAATCCCTTTTTAGGCTACATCTCTCGTTGATTTTTGTAGCTTAGTTGGAATGCATCAGTTTTGACACGCATTTGATCTAGCAACCGGGCTTTCTGCACTAATTGCAAAATCTCGGTATTACTCTTCAACTTGACACTTGCAGACCATAGCATTCGGTACTTAAAAAGAGTTCCTGAGTTATATATGACTATATATACGGTATTGGTGAGTCTTGTTTACTGTGATTGAAAATTACTGCAGGCTATGGAGGCGTCCTGTTAAACCTGAATATGAAGCAGACATGCAGAGCCCTCTTTCGGTGGGAATCTCAACTAATCTGAACTTTATTTGACCGTGGCTTTTCTTATTGTTATTCAGCAGTAGCCACGGAATTTGCTACAACGATAAAATAATATAGGAAGCCTCTCTCTCTGACTCTCGCTCAGGTTGGCAGTCGGAACAATGGGAAGGTAGCCATGCTCCTGCCACTTCAACTTGAACACTGGAAGACTTTTTGTTCTTGGGGTCCCAACTCCATAGCGGAAGGGAAAACCTGATGGCATTCTATGATGTTGATTCAGGTTTAAGGTTCAGTGTCACGCGTGATTATGCAAATATATGAGTTTCTGTAAAAGCACGGGGTCCATGTAGGTGTTTTTTTTTTTTTTGTTGGGAAAATCGTTCAAAATGTTTTTTATATTTTTGTCAAATGAATTTTTTCATCATCTACTTTTAAAAGAATAACTTTATATTTTTTACAAAATTAAGTCAGTAAAATTTGGTCTCAATATAGGTTTTCAATCACTTTGTAACTTAAAATCACATCATCTTTTTAATTCACATGTAGTTATTTTTTATATATAACATGTTAGATCTCTCTTTTTTAGTGATAAAAATAACTATGAATGGGTTTGATTTCTTTTTTTTTTTTAAGAAAAAAATGAATATAATTCGGATTAAATTTTACTTTTCTAGAGGTAAAAAGAATATGAGTTAAGCCAAATTATACCTTTTATAGAGAAAAAAAATAACTATGTGTGGCTCACGTAATAAATTTAGTGTAAAAATTGGCCTAAAATTTAGGTTGTAATTAAATTTTATCTATTTGATTTTGCAATGGGTGTGAAGTCATTATTTGTAAATAAAAAATAAAAAATATATTTGACGAATGTAAGTAGTTGTCAGATGGACCTTGGTACGGCCCAACGTGAACTTTTCCCTCCACAGGTTGACGTGCGTGCAGCGTGCTGCACATGCTTGCATATCTTCTGAAAATTGTCCCCACGAGTCGACTTACTAAAATAAACTGAACAAAAAGAGAAAAAAAGAAATACGGAGTGCCGCGTGCCTCACGGCACCTGTTTGCAAAGCTTCCCGTTTTAGCTGTCAGTTCAGTTGGTATCGAACGCAACGCCCTTCGCTTCATCAAAATTTTCTATGCTCTCAGTCACTTTTCTTTTTTTATTTTTCCCCTACCCCCTCATTTTTCTTTTGGGAAAATTAGGTTTGTCTTGGTCTGGGGATTCCATTTGTAGATTATTTGCTGTATGAAATAGCCATATTGATATAAATGACATAAGAGAAGTGATAATGAATGATTTACCATGATTGAGAAAAAACTACTATCATATGACTAGGCCTGTCAATCGGGTTTAATGAGCCGGGCTTTGATGAGGTCAAACTCAGTTCATTTAATTTGAATCATTTTCGGGATTCGGGTTATGAGTTTCGGATTCGTAAATGTGAAACCCATACTCAACTCACATAGTATTCGGGTTGTGAGCCTTAATCGGGTTTAACCCAATCTCACTTATTACTCTTTAATTTTCTTAATATAATTACTATAACTATTGAGTTGTAACACTAATTTAACATTTACAAGACTATAATATTAAAACTAAACATGAACAAATAATAGTTCTTAAAACGTATATAAACCAAAAATTTTTCAACAATATTTATATTTAATCCATTCAAAATGCATGAAAAATAGTAATAAAACATGCGATCATAAGCCAATACATCTTTAAAAGTTAAAACTTTTTTTATAATCTTGTGATTTAAATCCAAATATGCTTGATGATTTTTGTGTTTGTAGACCAAAAAAAAATCAACCAATATTATGCCAATACAAAAATTTACTCAACCAATAAGAAAAATTAGAGATTTAGTTATGCATTACCAATATTGGCTCTCAAGAAAGCTCATGAAAGAGTTTTTAGATGTATTTTTGTGTTTTGTAATTTATGTATATATTTAGTATTTAGTAATAATATATTTGGATATATAATTATACATAATATCAAAATATAAATATTATATATATAGGTAATTAAAGGGCCGGGCCTATATCGGGTTTGAGCCTAATAAGGTCCAAGCTCAGCTCACATCTAATTCGGGCTTATTTTTAGGTTCAGACTCAGACTGGCTCACTAAATGATCGGGCTCATCGGGCTTTTTGTCGGGCCGAGCGAGCCGAGCTCGGGCTGGCCCAGCCCCATTGACGGTCCTACATATGACGTATATTGCATATACTTCATGATCTATAAGTGAACACAGCGACCAAGAAGAAATTAGGTTTGGCCTGGGATTCCGTTATGCTAGGACCAAATTGGCGTCTCATTATTTTTATTTTCTTTCCACTTCTTCTACAAGGTCCCATAATGGCACAAAAAGAAATATAGGGTTATAACCTTGAAGAAAGTAAGAGACTGCTTGAATTGCATTTTTAGTAGTTTTTGTAATAATAAAAATAAAAAATCACCGTTATATTTTTTTAAATGTGATGAAGCAAAAAAAAAAAATGTTGAGAGAATGCCTTTTGAAAAAAATTCAACATTTTTCCTGAAAATTACAATCCAAACAAGGGAAGTTAATTCAAAAATGGTTGAAGATTCCTTTGCCTGATTGAGTAAAATATTAGTCCTGGAAAGAAAAAGGTCATCCTCTTTGCCGGAATTGTTGTGTTACACGGGGACTAACTTTCCAATTAGGCGCAGAAAACAATTGCGACTCTTTCTAAAGTGGTCAAAGCGATGAGTATCGGCGCCCGGACGGCCTCGTCTTCACTCGTCATCCGGGGCCCTGAATTCAAAGAATTAAATTAAATTAGGAGAAGAAAAAGGGTATGGAATTTGCAGCAGCTTCTCGTCGTGTTGACAAAAAAGGGCACGTTCCAATTGCGCTGTACTCCGTACGAATAGTAGCTTACCATCCATTTCCAGCGTATCTGACTTTCTGGTTACGATGAAAACAAGAGCTTAAAGCAGGGAATTCCTTTCTTGCTTAATTCATCTATATTGATGTATACGGCCAAATTTTTGTGTGCGATAAGCACGGGCTGCAATGGTGGACTTTGGTGCCTGGTTGAATAAATTATTAATTAACTTGGGCCCTCCCACCACAAGTCCACTCTCTAATTGCGCCAGTTACGTTGCACGCTTCTCATGACTGGCAAGGACGAGAGCAAGTTGAAAATTGAAACAGATCCATGTTGAACCTCGTGTATCTATTTTGCAAGGGCAAATTTTGCAGTAGATAAAGCAATGGCGCTCTATTTTGACCCGTGTCTATTATCAATTCTTTTCTTGTACTTTTCCTTTTTACTGTTTAAATACTTTGAAAAGTTTTGGCAGATAGAAATGGAAATCATATAGTGTTTGGATATAACTTATTTTGTCAAAAATTTACTTGCTTACAATACAAATATATTTTTAAATGAATAATTTTATCTTTCAAATTACCTATTTTATCTCGCATGACTCACAATAAAAAAAGTTACAATAATTATTTCAAATGATTTCTTGAATGAAAATTGAAAAACCATCGTTAGGCATAAATAACTAGAATGAAAATCCAACCACTAGGGTTAGCTTAGTGGCCAGAGATCGATTCTTAGAGTCTTCTCGTTATCCTCTTCACGATTTGAATCTTGTGCCTGACAGTTGGAAATGAAAAAGGGTGAGAGAATAAAAAAATATTAATAATAGACATGAATGAATGAATGAAAATCCTCTAATAGAAGAAAAAGACATTCTCAATTATAAAACTAGAAATCCAAGATTGACACATTTGTTTTAGAATCTTGTAATAGGATTGCAGCTTTTTTGAAGTTTTTATTAAAAATAATAATAATAAGATTATAACATTTTGAAGTATGCGTGTATAAAAAATTCAATTAGGTTTCATTCTAATCATCACCATAGTCAGGACCTTGTTCCTAGGATTATAAGTTGATCTTTTATAAAATAAAAAAAAGGTCTTATTTTACCGATTGAACCAGCTGCTGTTGACTAACATTACGGGTTGGAGGGATAATGGAAAGGACCCCAAGCAGACGGCCGTCACGGGAGTCAGGGATTGTTATTAGTACTAATTAAATGGTTTGTACAAGACGCCACGGCGAAGAGCTTCGGATGAATGGAAGTAAATATTTTTTTTTTTTGTGAATCATCGATCCTACTTCTACACCTACTCTTATTCTATATAGAAAAAGACTCAGCTGAACCTACGAAGGATCGACAGAAACAGAATCACCATCGAACTAAATAAGTAATAAATTTTCTAAAAATCATAATTATAATAAATTGATGGGAGGCAAGATTCGATGGTGGGTGGCCATCAGCCTAAGGCTGATGGTTAATGGAAGTAAATATTTCTTTCCACAAATTCTCTCTGCTTATCAGTGGACACAGTGCAAATCTCTGAGGGCAAGAAAGAGACTGCACAAAAAAAATACTGGAGGGTTTGCTCTCTGTTTTCTCTTAGCTGAGGTAGTATACTTCTCTTCTTTCAACGCCAGAAACCAAAAGTAATCATCATGTTCTCTGTGGCACCAGTACCACCTCACCTTCTCCAGAGCCATCATCATTGCTCCACAACTACGCTGAAAAACTCAAACCATCATCATTATCCACACCAACAAAGACGAATATCATGAAAGAGAGAAATAAAAATCACAAACAACGTGGACATCACAGGCTCTTGTTGGCTGAGGATGAAGTTGAAGACCAAAACCTCCTCCTGCTCCATCTGGGAGAAGAAGAAACTCAAGCCCTCGAGGGTCTTCTTCTTTCTTTCACTTTCGACTAATAAAGACTTTGATCAAAGTCAGCTTGCTTCGGGGAATCAAGCATCATGGTCCGATCTCTACTTTGCTAGATCAAGCAAAACTAACTCGCGCCTATATAGCTAGCAAGTTAGCTGGCTATCTTTTCTTTCTTACTACAATTACAACTCCTCCTGCTCCTCCGGGTTGCCTTTGGCTTTGTGGTTTGAACTTAAAAGGTAATGTTAGATCTTGTAAGATAAAAGCGCATACTAGTGGTGCTACTATATTTTATTTGCTTGTGAATTTGCTTATTAGCCTTTTTTGGAAGTTCAAGAAGACAAGATTGAGCTACGCGGTTTTTTTTTTTTTTTTTTGGTTTTTGGTGGTTTGGATTTATGAATCTCTCTCGATCACTTGTATTATGTCACTTGGATTTGATTTCTTAAGCTTACGGACGATGCGTATTGTAGAAAGTGATTCTATGTTATCTTTGATTGTATCTATTTAAATGGTGTCTCATCAAACCAGTTAGTCCTAGCTATTCAAAACCCTCCTCAACAAACATTAAGCCTGGTTCTCACAAGCATTCTTCAAGTTGCGCGCTATAGTTATTTATATAAGTAATTATGATCGACAAGATCTGTGATGGACAAG